TACTTACGGGTATGGTTGGGGGGTGTTGTAATGGGGTGTAGAGTGTGATGGGGTGGGGTAGAGTGTAAAGCATAGTGGAAAGGGTTGATAGTAAGCTAAGATGTAAATTACAGCTTAGTCATTAGTGGTAAGACTGAGAAGATCTTCTGATTTAGGGATCTCCTGAGCGAAAAATCTCCTAAGATTTAAAAATACTCCTAGGATCTCTGTAAAATACGATCTTGTTTCACACTATAGCTACTTATACCCTATGTCTTGTAACCACGTTTCGAAATATTCTTCGCCTACAATCTTGCCAAGATTCTCCGGGGATGATTAGTAAAACCCCCCTGCCGACCTTAAAGTACGTACTTCACGATGAAAGACGTGTTTCGGAAACGAGAAACTAGTCAGGGCATGGTTTCGGAATATTTTGGGTAATTGAGGAAGAAGATTGTAGAGCGAACGGCCATCTCATACCACCTTGTAGAGTTGTTCCTCTGGCTGGCGCAGAGATGGCCACGGCAAGGTCTGCTCTTGATACGAATATAGGTTCGCCGTGGTGTGCAGAGAATGGACAGTGATTTGCTGCAAAGCATTGATCCAATGTCGAAGAAGTCAAAGGGCCGCGTGCCAAGGTGCTTCATTGGCATTGCGCGGGTATTTGAGCACATTGTTCTTCATTAGGGTCAATGGAGTTAGAGAATCAGGTCCTGCTTCCGGTGGTTCAGTATCAAAATCAGCGAAAAGTCCCAGTCTGTCCAAGCCTTGTGTATCAGTACTTTCACTGCCAATGCTGGAAGGAAGTCAGTCATCTCGACTTTGCAGTATTCCAATGGCAGCGGTGAGTGAAGGAAGACGGTCACGCCAAGATCATTCTGAGACGCAAAGAGACTTGATCGACTTTCGAAAGGCCCAGCAGCTGGGTACACATATCCATTGATTACTTCACTGCGGCAGAGTAGTAATAGCAGCAGAATTCGGCTGGCCAGCCTTCCATCTTCACTCCACTCCTCTCTACTCTCAAGCACGTGGGCATCTTAATTGTCATGTTCATTCGGATCACTGCACAAGATTTATAATGGCTGTGACTGGGGAAACACTCCTTGCTCTGAAAATAGAAAGTGGCCGTACACCCAGGGGTTCGGTTGTCAGCATTATGCAGCCACGAGATAGCAGGTCATGCAGGTTTCACGTAACTATTACCGCTTCAGTGAAAAAGATGAGTTTTGAGGAAGCACAGCCTGAATCCTTCCTCGCATCTTTGTGCACTGAAGCGTAGTAGTAGAATTGGGGTGAAGAGTGGAATGCTGAATGATGATTGGGTGAAGGCGGACGGGTGAAGCCGCACAAAGGAAGCCGAGCAGTTACGAAAAGTTGGAGAAGAGAAAGCCGCCGTTGCTCGCGCTCGTAGCCGTAGATCCCCTGATCATCCCTCCTCTGCCGGTCCCTGACTTTAGCGCCGAGCGACATCTTCCTTTGGCTTAGCCTGTTACTTAACCTTCAGCTGCGCTTTTTCTTGCGATCGCGACCTTTTGTCCCCATTTACCTCAGTCTATTTTATCAGGTGCACCAATATCACGTACGGTAGTTCTGTAGACCAATTTATCTGCTCCATCATTGGTCCTGGATGCCGATCTTTGCCGGGTAAGATTTACGACTCGGGGTGAGGTTGAAATTGGATGTCGATTGAAGGAAAAAGATGCCTGTCAATGGTAAGATTGCGACCAACTTTAGCCCGCATTAGCCCGTATTAGCCCGCGTCTAGTCAATGCTTCTCCTCCCCTGAGCCAAGCCCCATCTTTCTTTGTAAAGTACCTTTCTTTACTCTTTCAACATCCACAACCACACGGGATCAAGCAATTATTGCCCAACCACGGTCACTTTGCTGGCCATCCCTTCCTTTTCATCACTCATATCATCATATCATATACACCCTCGTTCATCCTCACTCTTTAATACTCACCCCGAGTCGTTCTTTCCCGTTCATTCATTCATTCGTTCTTTCTACATGCTTGTCAATTGAGAAACTCCAAACAAAGCACAAAGCGCGTACTTTTAATACCTCATCCGGCATTTACTCTCTACAACAAAATGCAGTGAACAACCTACCAGTCCGAAGCTACTCTTGGCGTCATTCTCCACGAATCAACTCGTTCATTCTATTATGCCTCGACAATCGCATCGCAGCCGTCTCGGCCTCCACCTCGGCAAGAGACTTCCCACTGCCATTGCTTTGCCGGAACCTGCCTCCATCAAGAACCTCGTCGACAAGCCTCTCTCGGGACTCTCAGCATACTTCAAACGCGATGATTGCAGCGGCTCCAATAGCTCCAGTCCTGGCTGCCAGAAACCCACCGACAGCAGCAATGTCACTCTACCCGTCGCCCTCGCCGTTGTAATCCCTATTGCAGTGGCTATTCTCATCTTCATCTACCTTCATCGGAAACATGTCAAAAAGCTGCGCCGCGAAGACGCCAATGATCCACATAGATCTCTGGACTTCGGCTGGGACCCAGCTAGCGTTGCGCGTGCCAATACCAAGAAAGGCAAGAAGGACAAACCCGAAATGGTCGCCACGGATCCTGGTGCAGAGAAAGCCTTACGCCGTGAGCGTGGCATGTCAATGGATGTGGACATCAGCAGCCCGTACTTGTTGCCCCCTGGTCTCGGCGGCTCCCGCGAGTCATTGCATTCTATGTCACGTACCATGCACAGCCAAGACGATCGGTACAGGCCTGCGACCACTTACATCCCGGGCGACACTACCTCGGTTCACTCCTCCAGGACTGGACGGAAAGGTGCCGACGACTCATCAAGCTATGCTGGTTCCGGCTCAACCAGGCGTGGCCCTGGCGATGACATGAAGAAGGACCTTCTCGGAAATGCGCAGAGGATGTCGAGGTCCATGCCACCCGTCAGTCGATCTCCGGCTCCCCAAATCCAGGTGCCAGAAGCAGCAAAGCAACCCCCTCGCAAAGCATCACCTTCGGGGCCTCAGAGCGCAGGCGTTGTCCCTAAATTCCCCCTGCTCGATACTCCCCGAGATTCGTACTTAGAAAAAAATGGTGCGGATCTTCGGAAGAGCAACAATTATCTCGGTGCTTTCATCCATAGCAGAGACCCCTCCACTGATGTCCTTAGCCGAGACTTTGCATCTCCAAAAAGTGAATACGCGACTCCCAATGAATTTCCTTCGACTCCCTCGTCCACGATCCAGCAGATTGCTCCTTCTACTTCACTCCAACAGCCTGGCCCCTCCTCGATTTTGCAGAAAACTTCTAGTCGAAAGAGCCCTCCGCCAAACGTCAGTACAGAACCTCCCACGTCGCGGTCGTCGCCGCCAAATATCACAGAGATTCCCTCCACAAGAAGCTCCTTGTCGAGACCACCAAGAAAGCAATCTCTGCGTTCCTCTACAGAGCGAGGTCATTACGAGAACTTTCTGGACGATGCAAGTGATTATGGTGACGGCTTTCAAGTGGTGCCCCCATCGCTGCGCAGTTCGCAGACCTCGCAGCATGAATTAAACCGTCAATCGAGTCAAGCTTATATGCCTCCTATCCATGAGCACAGTCTTGGCGTCGAAGAAGGACACCGTCCAGGCTTCGATCCCCGCAGATCATCCATGGGCTTTCGACCTCTCCCACCGGATGATCCCACAGACAACCCTGAACAACGGGCGAACCGAATCAGATCTTTCTACAAGGAATACTTCGATGATTCCCGACCAGGGCCAAAGCGCGCTGCGGGAGACTACTATGAGGACTATGACCAACAGTATCTTGGCGATGGAGCTATCTTCGATCCGGTGTCTGGCCGAGCTCAACCTCTGTATGCCGCACCATATGATCAACCTCGTGGTCGACCGTATGCCGAGCCATATGGTCGACGAGCGATGACACCGCCACCACGTGCACCGCCAGGTTACGGACGCCGACATGCTGCTACAATGTCTGGTAGCAGTAAAACGATGCCTCCAAGGTCCCGAGCTCATTCGTCTCACTCTGGTCGCTTCGGGCCCTCTGGCCGTGGCACTCCACAGAAACAGGTCCCCCCACCACAGCCATTGAACGTTCTCCCGTCTCCTCATCTTCTGAAAGAAGACACCTTCTTACCAATGGACTTTGCACCTCCTACTACCGCTAGAGAGCGTCAAGCTGGTCGTTCAGGAAGTCCGCGTGGAGGATTGAGGCCATACTCGCCAATTGTTCCAGCCCACATGCCCCTCGTCTCCTCATTCGATGACCTCGCCCCAATGCCTAGCCCGTAAGTTCCCCATTCCTCGTTCATAAAGCATCACACTAACGCAGACTGTAGTCATCTACTCCGCAATTCTGGTACCTTCACCGCGCTCGACTTCGCCCCACCTCCTCGCTTTAGGAACAACGAGACCGCCTCCGACTCCGGCTCCATCCGCAGCAACCATAGCGGTGTATCGGCACGGACAAACCAGAGCATACGCGCTGGTGCATATCGTGTCAGTCGCATACCAAAGGAGTTTGTGGGCACGAAAGAGGATCTCAACGAAGCTCTGAAGCCGCAATGGAACATGCATGCATCATAGACCTTGTTTTTTGTTGCATTTGCATTTGCTCCAGCACGATCGCATGGCATCTCGTCAGAGTTGTCGCGCGACCTGATCGAGCGGTGGGACCATAATGAAGAGACGTACATGGTTTTGTACAGCATGTTGGTATTAACAGTGTTTCGACAACAGATATAGAGCTAGGGGGATGATCCGAGGACTTCATCGAAAATATTGGATGGAGAGGTCGACTTCACTTCTCATGTAATCATACTTGAGAGATAATGGTTCGATAGCAGATCGATAGCGAGACCGCTATAATTAATCTCCATGCCTGATGCTCCCCGCAACCGTGTACTTATGACAACAAGCAACACCTCTTCGAACCCTTGTCTCTCGTCCCAAACTTCACCCATCTGGTATTCATCGCAACAGCCCGGTCCCTCCTCCAGCACCACCATCTCTTCTCCACCTCTCCCCACCCTCTCACCCCTCACATGAAATCATCCTCGTCGAACCCCTCCTCGTTGCTCCTGCCCCCCTCGGCCATGAGATCCTCATACCCCCTCTCCCGCCTCTCCTTCTCCTCCCTCCGCTCCCGCGCCACCCCGTCCGCCTCCTTCTGCCGCCTCTCGTTCTCGGCCCGCTTCGTCGCCCGCTGCCGCGCCAGGTGCGCCTCCTTGTCGGCGGGCAGGTCGTCGACGGGGCGCGCCCGGCGCGTCTTCTCCAGCCGGTTGATCGTCGGGTTGAGGCGGGTGGGGACGAGGGTTTTTTTGGTCTGTTGGGGTTTGGTTAGCGGACTGCATCGGACCGGGGTGGATTGCTGGAGGAGTGTAGTGTAGTGTGGTGTAGTAGTGTAGTGTAGGGCCGTGAAAGAGCGAGCGGGTGATGTTGGAAGGGGAAGAGAGGGAGGTGGGGGGGTGGGCATGGATGTATGTATATATATACGGAGAAACCTACCCTTTTCGGATCCCGAAACCCCACCTGCCCCGTCGCCATGCCGGCATTCTTGTGCAGGTTCGCCCACGGCGTGTAGACGATCGTGACGTTGTCTTTCTTATTGCCTACGCGCGCACCGGGAATCATACGATCCCATCATCAGCCCCGCGGTCTCTATACCTCATTTTTGCCTCTTCCCTCGCTCGTACACACGCGGGGAATGGAAACGTGTGTGTAGGTGTGTGTGTGTGGGTTGGCACACCTTCGATGGAATTCGCCTTGGTCAACTGCGCGCACTCCTCCACCAGCTCCTTGGGCAAGGCGTCCCATGTCTGCTCGGGCGTGAGGCGCAGGTAGATGTGCGCGGAGGAGAGGTTGTCGGCGTGGAACTGTCGGCACGGACATTCCCGTTTTTAACATTGTCGTTCACGCTTCCTTTCCCTTTTGCCGTTCTTTCTCTTTTTCCTCTCTGTCGGTGGGAGAGGGGGGGGGGGGGGGAAGAGACGGACGTACCCTGTCGATAGTGGAGTGTTAGATTCGGGGTTGGGGAAGAGGTTAGGGAGGGAGAGGGAAGTCTGTCGTCACCAGATATCGCAGTCCCAGCCGAATTTGATCAGTTCTTCGTCTGCGGGTGGGCTGGGGTCAGCCTTGGGTGCGAGAGCGAGTGCGGGGGCGGCGAACGGACTCTCGAATTTATCTTTGCCTACGTAGATGGTGGCGGGGGGGTCAATCACGTTGGAGGTGAAGTAGTAGACCATTTTCGTTGTCGGGGGATGCTTTCGAGAAGATTGGGAGGGCGCTGGAGATGGGAGGTTTACAAGTACATGATGTTTAGGAAGGAAGTGGTGATTGGTGGCGGATTGGCTGGGAAGGCTTGAAGGGCTGGGTAGGATTGGATCACATTCTTTGATCAATGCCAGTAGAGACTGCTCAACTCAGGATTTGATTTTTCTTTGGTTTGTATCAGTGCAAAAGGAGGTTCGTAACATTCAAGGCATCATACATACCCCTGATTGCATAATCCTTGAGAAAGAAAAAAAAATTCCCACAGTTCTGGCACACCCCAAAATCAAAAATCAAAAATTTCAATTTTTCTGTATAGGTTCACAACCACAATTAATTATAGTCTAAGAATTATAAAATATATACTTTATACACTCAAGTATTTATTATTAAAGTATCTAAAAAATTTAACTTATATAACGTAAGTAAAATAATAAAATATTGATTTGACATTGCCGAGGGTGCGCTGAAAAATCATCTGAATAAATGCCAAGGTTTTTTTTTTTTTTACCTCGGCTATTCTAAAGCTGTCAAGAGTACTTCGTAAAACTCACTATTATTCTATTTTACAATATAACGAATAATTTAAATCTTTTAAGAATTTTATAATCTAATCTACACTCTATTTATTAAATTTTGATAATTTTTTAGATTATAATTAATTGTGGTTGAGAACCTATACAGAAAAATTGAAATTTTTGATTTTTGATTTTGGGGTGTGCCAGAACTGTGGGAATTTTTTTTTCTTTCTCAAGGATTATGCAATCAGGGGTACCGTGCCAGGGATCTCAACTAGACATCCAGTCTACCCCAAAACCTTTCAACGTATGGGACATTTTTCATAAGTGTGTATACAGTTCGATTAATTGATGTATCCTTTTTGCGCTTCTGGTATTACCCTCTTCAAAACGCCTCAGAAATGATGGGATCAACCCCCTGAGTCTCTGCCAAAATGGAGGGACACGCGCTGACCGTATGTGAAAATGCCCAAAAAATCTAACGTATGTACATGAACGGATTGATAGTGGATCTAGACCACTGAATCGAGCAGCACCGGATCCGGTAGCTGGTTAATCTTCTTCTTGATTAACTCGAAAGAGGAAAAAAAGACGATGTTCGTAATACAAGAGCGTGCCATTGCAAGGCCAAAACCTATTGAGAAAGGATCCATGCATTAGCACATACTATTTCAATGCTGATAGTGACTGGCAACTTGCCTCGATAAAATTTGCGATTGAACCACTCTAGCTTCGGGTATTCCACCAGAGTGTTTCTCTCAAGGCACTTGCGCTGGTATTCGGTTTTTACGGAGTCAAAAGGATAAGTCTGGCGAAAGGTCAGCTCTTCAGTATTAACCTTGGACACCCTCAGAACTCACGCAGGTCACAGACGCCAAACCACAAAAACCGCCAGCCATAGCTACAGACAAAGGAGAGGTTGGAGAATTACTGCCTTGTAGCTTAACGAGCATCTGCTTAGTGCTTTCGTATGTCGAGAAGTAAATCGCTGATCCGATAGTATCTCTGACTAGAGAAATCCTGTGAGCCGAGGAAGCGTGATTTGTTTTGGTTTAATGGACTTACCGATATGGATTCGAAATCCAGCGTACAGTCCAGGAAAGCCGCGGAGCTTGAGAATATTCATTGCGGTCTTGATCGTTCCCTTCTGTTGGTAGCTTGATTTGATCGGGTCTTTGAGCGCATCGGACATGCTGGATTTATTGCCCTTCGCCATCATTTCGGACGTTTGCGCAGCGATCTTGGTGATCTCGAAAGGGGCTGGAAGTATTTTAGATCTCGAGGTGGCATGACGTGCCAAACCCAAGACTCACCAGCGTAAAACGAGATGACTGATCCAGCGGTAGCACCAGCGGCCGCAAAGCATGCTATTGTTGCTAATGTAGGGATGCTCCCAGGCCGATTAACGATGACCAACGGCTCGTCGCCTCCAGTGGCTTGCCCGATGAGGGCAGAGTACTTGTATTTTGCCTTTTGATACACGGAAAACGACAAGGTCCTCCCGAATGTAAAGCTGAAGAATGGGCCCAAACCGCCTATGAGACACACGCAACATTAGCCTCGATACTAAGAAGCTCCTAAGGAGATGGAATATTTGATCACGCGACCCCAGCTGGAAGGTAACAGAATACCAATGCCTTCAATGTCAAGACTGCGCTAGCAGTGCTCTAGAAGGCCAATCACAGGTACAGCGTAAATCAATTGCCTCAAAGGTTGGGTGCCTCCATCAGAACACAGTGAGAGGTTGTGGACTGACCACGATAGAAGCCCTTGATCCCCTCCGTCTTGTATCCATCTTTCATGCACTCTATAATAGTACGGTGGCGGCCGTATCTTCTGCCATGTTAGACTTGGCAATGAAGTAGTGGTCATTGTGGATGCACGTACGCTTGCATGCGAGTCTTGACGCTGTCCAAGGGATACTGAACAGCGATTAGAATGATCGCAATTAACCTCGACACTAGGGAGCTTACAGAAACTGTTTGAGAGAGCATGATGCTCATCCCGGAGGCGATGCTTGTACGATAGTACTTCGCCCAGTGTTTGGTGAGTTCAGGGTTCGTAGCCAAAGCTGATGGAATCTTGGTCTTCGAAGCTTGGTCCGTAGCGTCCCTGGAGATTGCTTCATCGCCATTGTGGCGGTCTTGACGATCGGCCATATTCATTTGGTGCATAGGCCACAGCCTCTTGCGCTGTGTGTAGTGCCGAGGCCTGCTAGCAGTCGCAGATGGATGAAGAACCAAGGGTAATCCATCAGAGGCTGCTCAGATCATACCATAGGTGAACTTCTGCTATCTGCTCGTCGTTGAGCCCTTCTTTTTCAGGCGACGGCAAGATGTGCAGCGAACCGAAGGATGCCGGCGAGCTCAGGTGTAGATAGAAGCTCGTTCGTTACAGATCAGAGAATTGGGACCTGGGGCGGGGTGTGCAGGTACAGGGCCAAGAGGAGTGGAGATTGATGTATCATGAGACGTGGGACTGTAGGAGATCGTATATAGATAGCCTAACACCAAAAAAGCAGCGAAAAGGAGTAATAAAAATGTATAAAGAAATGAGAGGCCTTTGTTGAAGAGCCAGAAGTGACCTTGTTATACTCTACAAGTTCTAGGGTAGGAAAGAGGTAAGGTACCTACTTTCTCGCGCCCGCAGTTAGCCAAGTCAAAAAAAAAATAACCACGCTTGGAGAAGTTAGTGGTGGCACCAGTGAGTTGCGGCTTTTATTCACAATGCACAAAATTTTATACGTAACCGTTTGTGCATGAAATTTTCTTGGCACAGTTATGCCTTCATGGCTTCGGATGAGGATCAAGACTCAAGAGTCTGCGACGTTGACAAGGCTAAAGTAAATAATGCTCAGTTGAAACTGTCAAGCCTGCTCAGAACCCGGAGTCATCTGACCCTCTGGATACTAGCGGCTTCAATGTGCCATTGAGAGATTTGGAGCCTCTCAGCGCTAGCTCATCAAGCAAGAATCAGCACAACACGCCAATGTGTGAGCTACCGCCACCCTGCTTCACAGCTGTCATACAAGCCTAGAAAGACCCTCCGACGCCCGGTGCTGATAAACAAGCAGTAACGCCGAGGCTCGAGTAGAAGAGGATCGCCTTCGCATTCTCTGAATCGATCTTAATAATAGTAATACAAAACTTGAGATCTTGCTTCGTAGAATATCAGCAACAGCAGCTACAGCCGGGAGCTACCTAACCCTTTAGTCGATTAACTTACTCCATCAATCAAGCACAACGATATCGTCGAGTCCCTTTCTTTGGCCCAGTCTAGAGTCATCGTACTCACGCCGGAGCGGTCGAACATTTTCAGGGCGCCCAGCAATCACATGATTGTGGGGCCGCCTGCCTTCAGCCGGTCCATTCAACGGTCGATTTCTTGACTGTACGTTGATGTCCCTGGACATTGGTTAGCTAAGTCCAATTCCATCTTCGAGCACTGTATCAAACCAAGGTTCCATAGCTACCCTTGAAGCATGTGGCAGTGCATGTCTTTCGAAAGGGTTGGCTCGATCTGGTTTGGCATGATGTTGGTTAAGCTGATGATGTGACGATGCATTTTGTTGGACAGACCAGACCGGTCGCTGTGGCATCCCATCAAGTTGTTGCATACGACTTGGCGGGTGATCGAAGTTGGTCGAAGCTGGTTGGCGCTCACGAATGTTGCGCGGATACGCATTTGTCAGAGGCCCCGTATCTTCGTGGAGAGTGTCTTTGGCTGTATCAAGTGCGTAAGTTAACAGAGTTACTGCGTGACCAGCAGGTCCGTGGACATTATCCGTAGCCGTGGCAAAAGAATAGGTCAACGCACCACTTGATGGGTTTGTATGTCTGTAGGAATCAGCCGTAGCAGTGGAGGGAACGTAGGCAACGCGGTCCGGCCTGCGATCATCGTCGCGCTGCCCATAATCGAGAAACATGTCACTAAATCGTGATGGCATCGATCTTTCAGCTACCTCCAAGGGCTGTAAACGACGCATCATTCCATCAGAGTCTGTATAGACTTGATCACTATCTGCAGTGACGCCCATGGCGCGACGTGATGAAAAACCCAGGTCACTACTTTCATGATATCTAGGAGCAAATTGAGAAGACTCGAAAAAAAAAGGAGAGTCATTGTAATACTTCGGCTGTGCAAAAACAGCACATGAATGAAGCTGCAAGTTCTCTACGTTCTCTGAACGAGAAAGCGGGACCTGATAATGATCGATGGGTTGCGGATACCGTTCCCCACGATCATCTATTTGATCCGGACGCCTCTTCATTTGTGTACGGGGAGACAATAGCTGAAGCACCTGACGGCTGATAGGAGGCCTCGTGCGTTCTTCCTTCGGAGGAAGTGGTACAATTCTCTTGTCCGAAACAATGTTCCCCGCGTTATCACGATGTACAGCCTCATGAGGCCGTTCATACTGGAGTCGGCGGTCATCTATCTGTTCGATGGGAACTAAAATAGTTCTGCCTTGGCTGTGAGAATCAACAGGCTGATGATCATCGATCCTGCGCCTTTTGCTACCTGGTAGCTCCTTATAATCATCGAGATTTATATTCGGAGGCGCGAGCAATTGCTGCGTTCCACGATTGAGGGATTGGTATGAACCAAATGGGCTTACTTGCCGCGTTTTTCCATGGATCGATGTCTGGTCGGCTTGCTTATCAGGAAGGTCCCTTTCAATAGAAGGAATTACCATCTCAGGGCGCCGGCGTGGTTGCATTTCGAGATCGTGAGCATAGAAATCACTACCATTCGTTTGGCTAGGGTCATTCAGGCTTACAAGCCTCTCGCCTGCCTCAATGACTCTATTCGGAACCTGACGCAGTTCAAGTGGTCGCGTCCCGTTATCATAAGGCTGGTCTTGCCCGGCGTGATAAGTCTTTTTAGGCTGCTCTAGGCTTCCGTCGTGAGAACGCCAATCTTTTTGAGACGAATAGGCGACCTGGCATAATTCAGTACTCTTCATTTTTTAGGCTGCTTACCTCTAGATCCATTGTGCACCGTTATTGCTCAATTCAGTTGTGGACCGAACTTACCTGTTCATCTAGTACATATCTGGGATCCCTTGCGTTGCTGGAAGAGTCAGCTCTATTAACCTCTGGCCTTGCTACTGGCATTAGGCGCGTCTGGTTTGGCGCTCGCCCTAGTGTGTGTTCTTGACGTTCGACCAAATGCGGCGAATGGTTTCGATCTTGCGGTTGCTGTGATAACGGTTGGAAACTGTTGTGTCCAGAGCCCGCAAAGAGCGGTAGGGAGGAATGGCCGTTATGGACATCCAAACTTTCCGGATGCTTCCTGCGACGATCCAGCGCCTCTTCGTAGACTCTCTGTCGATGTACTCCCATGCGATCCAGCGTGTGTTGATCATTTCGAATTTGCCGGCCGTTGCGTAATTGATTGCGACCCAGGTATTGGATTTCATTGTCTGAATCCGGGCTGTAGGAGTCGCCGCGGTCAACTGTACGATTAACGTTGGAATAGTCGACAGGTTGAATCTGCATATCTGCCTCTGAGATGTATTCGACGCTGCTATCACGTTCACTCTCTTCGGGCCGCATTCGCAGGCTCTCTTGCACTTGATCTCCTTCAACTTCTTCGTCATCGTCTGGGATCACGATGACCTCTCGGAGTACGTCGTCCATGGCTCCAGCGTCATCGTCATCTCCTCTCCACCGGATCAGACGATCCAGACACGGTTTCTCGACCCTTCGACGAGCCTCATTGTACTGGACTTGCCTTAAGAGAGAGTCGTAATCGGTATATGTGTGACGAATGTGAGCAATTACGGCAAGCTGCGCACGTCTCACGAGACTTAGATCAGCAACCGTACCGACAAGACCCTTACCCTTGTAATTGTCAGCGTTTGGAATTGGATCGAAAAGTATCATGTTACCTTCTGGAAAGATCTACCAACGATGATGTGTAAGTCTTGATTAGGTATGTTAGGAAATAGGTCTCTGATCGTTTCTCGAGCTGAAGTATCAATGACTGCTTGTGGAAGAGATATATCAAGCACTGGGTGGGCATTCCGAGTTCTGGACTTCTGTTTCTTTTGCTTTGTTGGCCGTCTGCCATCGTGGTCCTGCCCGTCTTCTAGGTGTGCGAAATTGGACTGCAGAACGCGGCCAGAGTTCGAGAGTGTAACACCGAGGCTGTCGCACGCCTTCTCTACGGTGACGCTTGGGAAATGGAACCCAACTCGATGAATCTCTCTGGACAAACCCTGGCGCGGATGCCTACTAGTCTGTAAAGTGTCAAAATGACTCCTTAATTGAGCTTTGAAACCTACCGAAACGATGAAGACTGTGAAGCCGTCTTCTCTTGCCAACTTCTTACATCGGTTTGTCAACTGGGGATCTCCAGCAGGAATGAACGTATAGCCTCTGGGAGCTTTCTGTTCGGGATATAGCTGTTGAAATGATCAGAATACAAGGCAGAAGTCTGCGCCCAAGCTCATCTACGTACAACAGTCTTGAGCTTTTTCTGCTTATCAGCAACCTCCTCGAGGATGATTTTATAAGATGCCTTCCTTTTCTGATCAGTTTTCCTGTGTCGATCAGCGGCTGATGGGCCTGCAGAGGCATGCCGTGCATGGACACGAGTCATGCTGTTCCAATGCAACCAAAACAGTTACACCAGCTGCGAAGACTTTGACGTTGTCCGGCCCACTTGATTTGAGCAGACTTGGCTTTTTGAGTTCTTCATAGTCCTGTGTTTTTGGGTTAATACTCTTCTCGCTGTCTAAACCACATAGACGTCAATCTGCTATAGCAAAATCTCCGCTTAGATAACCTCGACGCTATACGTGAGTAGTTATGTGCAGTTTTTATGGTTATGTTTTTGGCAAGAACCTCAGCTGTATCCGAGGATCTGGCCTTCACCAACAGGGAAGATTACCCGGCTTGTCCCGCCACTACTCTACTCTAATCACTTAGAGCTTGGCGCGAACCCGCACCTGATGCTGAAGCAAGAATACTCACTCACCGAGTCCTCATGACTCCCAGCAGTCAAGAGATTGTGAGATCTTACCGACATCTATACCGCCATGCAATGTACGCGGTACAATATGCAGCACCTGCAAGACACACCCTGAGAATCCTCCTCGAGAACGCGTACAGAACAGGGAATGCAGCAGATTTTGACGCCCAGAAAATCACTAACACCGTTACCTTTTTAGAAGGCGCAGCCAGAGAAAAAGGACTAGAGCATAGGGTTTTGAAGAGTCTACTACATACTTGGTTCTGGAGCGTGAATAGTGGAAAGAACAGAAAAAGGTGAGTCTTGACGCGTTATCATGCACCTGCATTATGCTAACAGAACACAAGTCTGTCGTTGAAGACAGTCAACACGAGGACTGAACAAAGCCAGGCTGCCATACAGCACTTCGAAATCACGCTGAAGATGCTCAATGAGAGCATGGGAATGTGTCTTCCTACGACTTTTACTACCAAACGCGAGTCACCGGGCATAGACTGATCTAGTGGACCGAACATACGACGATTGGAAAGTACCGAAGACTTCAAGTGGAGATTTTTCACTGCTCGGTGCTAAGGCTCTAGTCATCTGGATAACGCTGATATCAGACGAGGATCAATCACAGACTGGCCAACTTCGCCACGGCCTCCCTCATTGTCGGCCTCTAGGCGCCTTTGTATCCGTACTTGAGGATTTCGAGTTCATCTACATCCACAGAGAGCATTAATCGCCTGGCGAGAATAATGAATGCGAATGATACTGCGCATCAGTTAGGTCATACTGCCTTGTCACCTGAAAGAGGCCACCCACCCACAGGTAACAGACAAAGCAACCAGAACCCATCATGTACGCCTTGCTTGTCTCTAAAGATGATAGAATTCAAGGCGCAGAACAAGCTTAGGGTACCATTGAGGTAGCTGATATACTGATGGACTGGTCCTGACTTAGGCTCTAATCGCTTCTTCGACTTTACTCGATTGAGCGATTTGTGCCTAGTATTAGGAACGAAGGCAAGGATATAGGCGGTAGCGATGAGGGAGGTTATGCAGAGGAGGCTGACGAGCTTGGCTTGAACGAGACTCGACATGATCAGTGTGGGGATGTATGCCATGGCGGAGACACTGGGGACCGCGAGGAAGATGCGCTGGTGGGGTTCAGAATGGAGCTACCATACCGCAGTGAAGAGGCTTACTTTATACTCCTCATTGCGCTCGTCATCCTCGACTCTCAGCTTCGCGATGAGTTTCTCTTGCTCTAGGTGCCAGCATCAGTTCAAATGCACACTTTACAACTTCAGCAATAATAACCTTCTTCGTCAAGGTTTTTCGGTGTATCATCATCGTCGCTGTTATCAGCTGGGTACTGAAAAGTTTCCCGTAATCTCGTCGCTGCCATGCTAGATGTAGAAGTTGCGCGCGATGGTTGCAGAGTAAGGTCCCCTCCAGCCGGCCGCGCCAAGACTCTCTACTCCACCGAAAATACCTATCTACCTCTGCACTTTGCAGCTTAAATATTGAGCAATACTCCTTCTCACAACGAGATGCCTCCACAGAAAGCCAGCTCCCTCTTATGTAAATGGCAAAGTCTTATTCTCTGCCAACCGCACTGCCTGCGCCAACAATCCTCGCTCCTCAAGCATGCCCGCCTCCCTACCCACCGCACCCTCATCGCCGCTCCTCAGCCCAATTCCGGGCCTCTCATGAGTCGCCGCTCCGATCGCGCGCTCCCGGCCATCATTAGTCCCTGGCGCGTCTGGGGACCAAGTCTTCCAATCTTCGTAATCATCCTCACCGTCTCCGCCCTCTGCATCTTCAACTACCAGAAATCGTCCTCCTCGGTTGTAGCTGCTACGTTATACGCATTACGCACGAGCGAAGTAGGTAGAAGGGAACTAGGTGATGAGATATACTTCCGAGACATGTGGCCATGGATTTGGGGAGAAATGAACCAATTGCATGGAAGGGTGGATATCCATTTTGGGGTAAAGGGGACCAAAGGGAGGGGAGTGATGAGATTTAAGAGCGAGAGGAGGGGGAGAATGGGGAAAGTGAGTTGAATCTTTCTGTAAGGGAAGGCTGTTTTGATGGGCTGACTTTATGAGTGTAGTTTGAGACGAAAGAGTGGAGCTTGGAGACGGAGGATGGGAGAAAACTACAATTGTTGGATGAGGGAAGGGGAGATCCGTTCAAGAATACGTCTTTGGAAGCGGAACCAACAGGCTAGAATCCAGTACTACACTATTTGTCCATAGGTTTTAAGAGATCCTCGTTCGATCGTGTTGAAGTACAATATCAAAATGAGTCGACACTTAGTTTTGGAGACGGATTGAAAGGCTAAAGGCTTGGCTCTGTCCTCGCTGTATCGAACTCATACGGGGAACACTGATCAAGTGTATCCTTTGCATTTGGCTGTTCACAATCCCTATTTTTCATTACTTCGTAAATATGTCTACAGCGGTCTGCCACAGCTGCTGGCAGCTACCTCCGGCCTTTCTACTCCCGCGCGTAACCTTCAAACATACATCGAAACGCAGCATAAAATCCATTTCGACCCCTCAATATAATCGTTTCAACAAGGGTCAAGGCTTACCACGACTCAGAGCCTCCTCTGAAGCTGCACTTGAGCGAAAGGCCTATACCACACCGTTACGAACCGGAGCTTTGGGCACTAAGAAGGGAATGTCCGCCGTCTACGACACCGACACCGGACGGCGACAGGCTGTTACCATAGTGCAGATGGATCGAGTCCAGGTGGTTGCGCACAAGACTAGAGACAAGAATGGGTATTACGCAGTTCAAGTGGGATCGGGCTGGAAACATCCAAGCAATGTCACCCGTCCCTTACTGGGTCACTACGCAGAGAATGGCGTGAGCCCCAAACGACATCTGGTAGAGTTCAAGGTCAGAGATGAGAAGGGTCTACTGGGTATTGGTGAAATGGTTGGTGCAGGATGGTTTCAGGAGGGGCAATTCGTCGATGCAAGAGCGAATTCAAGAGGGATGGGTTTTGCTGGTGGCATGAAAAGATGGGGATTCAAGGGTCAAGGAGCTTCGCATGGTGTATCATTGACCCATCGAGCAATGGGTTCGTCGGGACAATCTCAAGGTGGCGGGTCAAGGGTTCTGCCGGGAAAGAAGATGCCAGGTCGAATGGGAGGACATCAAGTTACCACGCAGAATGTAAAGGTCGTGAAAGTTGATGATGAGAAGGGCATTGTGGTGCTGTATGGTATGTCGTCAAATCTTCCTCGGCCGTGGTACGAGTTATTGATGGTTTCTTCAGGCTGTATACCTGGACCCGAGGGATGCTTGGTCAAGCTGTCGGATGCAATCAAGAAGCCATGGCCAGAGACACCCACGATGACATCAGGAGTTCAGGCCGCGGGAGAACCATTGAGGGCGACTACATGATCGAGTAAATAATTCAATACGTTATTAAAAAAGCAGTACAGATTCGAGTCCTTGGACCCGAAGCATGCGACTATTTGCGAGGGTTTCGACCCCGGCATCTTGCGCACTGTGGAGAAAGGATCCACTCTGGATTCAACATCATCTCCATTCATGAGGGAATATCACAGCAGACTATCTTCATGGTGGAGTAAATTTAGCCCCTTGCTCGGTGGGTGAGGGCGATCACTCTTAGATAAAGTAGCATATCGAGACAAAGATAGGAATAGCGGAGACAGCATCATCATCAACATTTGATGATACCTTCACTAAATATCACTTCCTTAGATCATTCTGGCATCAAATAAAGAAACATGAAGCGTCATTATTATTGTTTAGAATTTGGCACGGATATAAAGTTACGTCCTTCCATACCAGAATACACCCTGCCAAGGCGGGTAAAGCGTGGGAAATAAGATTTGGAGAATAGAGTCAATTTCACAGCTTCCCTTTTTCTCCCATCCAGCGTCAACATCTCACCACTTCCATCATCATTGTTTATCATCTCAGCTCGTTTCTGAGGTCCGCTCTTTCCGGGTGAGAGCAAGGCGCGTTCGCCGTTGCCACGTCGAGTCCTTATACGAGGTGCTTAGTAAGAGTCTTTTGTTAGGGGGAAGAAAGATTAGACATTATCCCGAGACACCAATCACCTGGCCCTATTGTCAACATCTACTGAACCATCGTCCACAGTTACTCCGAGGAAGCATTGAGTCGCTGCCTCTTATCAACACTCGTTTTGACTCAGTGCTTTCTCCTCTTAACAATCGCTCAAGAAGAGACCACCGAGTTAACAAAAACATCCCCCCACAATGGCAACCAATAACGGTACAGGTAAGTAAAACGATTGAAGAAATTTCTGTCGCAGCCTTGCACTGATTACGTTAAGCTGCAACACCAGTGGTATTCACTTCGACCTCTCAGGTGGTCCTGCCCAATACCCCAGGAGCAGTACCAGTACCAACAACCCCCAGCAGCGCCGTTGTTGTAGATACAACTTCAACTTCGATATCAACAACCTCACAGGCTCCTTCGGATGTTACTGCGTCAACTACTTCTTCCACAAGCGATGCTGCAGCCGCCGCTCCAACAGCATCATCATCGTCAACCTCGGATTTTCAAGTCACTAGAATTGTGCTTACGTCCTCGACCAGTGATGGAACACCGCAACCAAAAACAATCACCCTGACTTCTACATCGTCTACTCCGGTTACGACTCCTTCGGCAATAACAGGCGTGACTGCAACCAAATCATCAGCCAGCAAATCAAGCGGAGCTCCCATTGCAACCGCTGGCTCCTCTACCTCCACTTCTTCGGGTCTCTCTGCGGGTGGCAAGATTGCTGTAGCTGTTGTCGTACCCGTTGTTGCCGTTGCTTTGATCGTCCTCGCCGTTCTCTTCCTCTGGCGGAGACGGAAGCAACGCATGGACGGCGAGGAACTGCGGAGGAAAGAAGTGGAAGAATACGGGTTCAATCCTAACAATGATCCCACACTACCCGTCGTTGGAGGTGCCAGCAGTTCGGGAGATGAACCATCAGAGATGAGAGAGACGGATGGAGCCGGTTATCGAGGCTGGGGCACAACATCGACCAACCGAAACCCCTCTACTACCCTCGCAAGCAGTCAAGGACCCATTGGCATGGCCAGATCTACCAGTGGCAGTGAAAACGGACGTTATCTCAACGGGTCACCAACCGCCGGAACGAACAAGAGCTCGGACGTACAGTCTAATGACCCTCTTGTTGGGAGCCCAATTAAGAATCGACCATTGAGCGAAGACTCGGAAACCATTGGAGCCCTTGGCACCGTGCCCACAAATGGCAAACCTCAAGACATTCATAGAGGAACTTCTAATGCGTCTTCGGCTTACTCTGGAGCACATCGATCGGACACTTCCGGTGAAGGCGCGGTACCTGGGAGTGCACCTGCCCAGCAATACTACAACGAAGGCATGTTCTACGATGAAGGCATGCCACAGCATGGACCATATGGGGACGGAAGCTACGGTGGTGGACAGCCAGTCATCCGAGACGTATCAGCTAGGAGGGATACTCGGATCGAGAACCCCTCAGTCATCCCTCAGCAAGGAAACGCAGGCATTGCACAAAATTTCTGATCCAACACCCGACTGTGGTCAGAGTGGCGTTCTGGTTTTATTTCCCAGGTTCTTCGGCGGATTTGGGCATATGGGTACCTGAGCAGCTTTCACATCTGCAATCATTACAGTGTCTGTTTAAATATTGTCAGCATCGACCCAGCCCAGTTAGGGCAGACACATAGGGTGCCTAATACTGATTGATCATACTTATCGCGCCACGGTTCAGCTGAGATCCATGTGCACGTTGCAAAAGTCGACTCTCATCATTGCGTCTTTCCTTTGAATTATCGAAGTTTTATTTAGCGGGTGCACCAGAAGTGGATTGGGCTTTGGTAGGACAGTCCTAGGAAGCATGTATCTATCGGAATAGACAGTCAATCACAATCGTCATCATTACTTTCATGAGAGCCAAAAGACTTGGCCAACAAGAAGATAGACCTTTTTTTCCGAAGCACACTACAAATTAGATGTAGGAAAGCACAATGCGTGGTTCAGAATTCAGAGAAGCAGTGATTCTGTGGGAAATGTTGTTCTAGAAGTTCGCTAGAAGCCTTTCCCGACGGAAACGTGCAGGAATTTGCTAGCATGATTGGTTTTGATATTATCCAACTGACTCAAAGAGCCTCTTCCCATTTTCCCCAACCATCTGAACCATGCCTTGGAGCGCCAAAATCGCCCCGCGCTGTGGAAAAGGAGGGGTAAAGATGGATTTTGAGTTTGGTGAGCTCCATGGGTGTAAAGAGCTTTTGTGAGGCTTTGGCGGTACTCTACTCGTACCTTGAATTTGGAGTGCACGAGTGCAGATATCGCTGGTGTCGCCTGTGGTCCTCCTGCAAGATACGGTATCTAAAGTAGTACTGCTGTGATTGGTACTCACCATACTGCCTGCTTTCCTTTCCATATCGTGTCGATGCAGATGCTTGGCTAGACCCTTCTTTCCTCATCGTACTACTCCATTGAATTCTACTTCCCTCCACCTTTCTCCTTCTGCGACTTCTCGCGCAGGCCTCTTAAACCTCCTTCGTCAATAACAATGTACGTGCATCAATTTCAATATCTCATTATTGAAGACTCCTATTCTTGGACTCTGCCTACAGGTCTCCGAACCGTTTATGAAGCCTGACACCGATTCCGGCCTCCAGGAAGTTCGGCAAGCATTTGCAGAAACGGCAACTCGACATACCGGAATACGCTGCAAGCTTTGTCAACTATAAAGCTCTCAAGAAGGTCTCAGAGAACTTCTCAACCATATCGACCTTGTCGCTTACACTGGAATAGCTCATCAAGCAGCTGAGCGCTACGCCAACCCTCCTACCCCAAAATGCTACCAACACAATTCCCGAGAACCTGGACCCTCAGGCTTTGCTGCAGGCAAACAAAGCAACTTTCTTCTTCAGACTGGTACGGTATCCCTACTAGCAGACGTTCTCCACAGCGAGCTTACAGCGCCCGCCAGGAACGAGAGCTTGAGAAAGTCAATGCATTCTATCTTCAAAAGGAGGCTGAGGTTTGCTCGACGACAGGATTTCTGGAGAGTCAGTGGCTAAAGACTTTATAGCTTAAGCTCCGCCTCAAGACTCTCCTGGACAAGAAGAGAGTCATGCAAGCAAGAAGTGCGACCGCCTCCAAGATATCTGCAAGCTTTATCACCCTCGAAGAAGGCTTCCAACAGTTTGGAAACGATCTAAACAAATTACAGGTGAGCACCACTACGTGTGGACACTATTCTCGCATGACTGACAGCTACAAGCAATTTATTGAGCTCAACGCTACTGCCTTCTCTAAAATACTCAAGAAAGTGGGTGACGCGCCTTCGAATTGCGACAAGTACCGCCTGCTGACAATTCGAAGTGGGACAAAACCTCCAAGGTCCGCTTTCTCGGCTTTGCGTCGCTCGGCTTCGGCTGACCCCTTTTTCATAGTCACGGACAAAAGAACTATACCTGTCACGTGCTGTTGAAGTCCAGCCCTGCTTCAATCGAGATGTGATCAGCGACCTTTCGGACCAAGCTACAACCAGTCTGCTTGAGCTCGGCGCTTGGGCCGAGGGCGAGAAAGTCCAATACGATTCTAGCAGACCGGCCGAGCATACAGTGACTGGCCAGTCGATCGGTACCGACAACAGTGACACAGATTCCCAAATACTTCAAACTGCAAACACCGGAAATCGGAGCGGCCTCCAGGATTGGATCTCGCGGCTGAAAGAGTCACCGGATGCTAGGGAAAGATTTACACGGACTTTTCTAGCTGCTACCCCCGAAGCTCCTGAGGAGTCGCTGAATATACTCCTCGAGAGTGGTTTGGTGGATGTCCACGCCGAAGACGAGATAAATGAGAGAAACTGCCTGCACGAAGCCGCAATATCCGGTCGAGATCTTGTCATGAATATTGCTCTACGCAGTAAGGTTGATGTTGCACGTGTCGATGTCTATGGGAGAACACCTCTCCACTATGCCTGCATGTACGGTCATGTCGCCATGGCTGGAGCTTTAATGGAGAGTGGGCCGAATACCATCGACTATCTAGACCACGACAATTTCACACCGTTGATCCACGCCATCGTTCACCACCAAATTGCTTGTGCTCAAAAGCTCCTCGCTTATGGTGCCCGCATTGATCCAGAAAGCGAGTCGGATCATGTTCCTCTGAATCTGGCTTGTCAGTATGGATCAGTGGCGATCGCGAATTTACTGCTTGAGGAGCAGGCAAAGTTACTCCCAGATGCCGAAGGTCTCTTCCCGCAGCATCTTGTTGCCCGATCAGGTCAGAGTCCAGATACGCTTCTAATGTTGGAGCGTTATGGCGCAGATTTAGACCAGCGCGACAAGCTGTACCAATGGACCCCCTTATTTCATGCGGCCTCCGAA